AAGGAGGGGGCTTTGTAGAAAACGAAGCGTTTGAGAGAGGCGGGGCATAGAGGACTTACAATAATGTACAGTATTTGAAAAATAATGTGTTTTTTGAACATTAAAGCATGTCAACATATTCTGTTACACCAAATACACAAAATAATAATCTTTAAAAAAGCATCATATGACCCCTTTAAATCTTATAGACCCCATACTTTTGAATGGTGAAGAAACTACTAAACTATCTAATCTGTATTATAATAATGTATCGCCCGGCCCTAAAATCATGTTTTTCTTGAACAAATATGTCACATGATGTAAAAATACATCAGTTTTTATAGACAACTACCAAAATGAACTTGATTTTAAATTTAGTCTCCTCTTCTTAGACTTTCATACAAATGGTTTGTAATGTTCACGATAGTACAATTCCTACAGCAAATTCCAAACAGCTAAAGTCAAAACGAAAGCAAAACGGATACTGTTATCAGACTTTCCAACTGCGAGCAAATGCAAACCCTCAGATTTTCCAACAATCATCAGATGTAAAATTGCATCAGAAACCTACATATTGGAGAGTTAGTTACCCAAAACTGGTTTGCTCTTTTACCACAAGATCTAATCAAAACTGCGTTTCCTAAAGCATTGAATCTGATCTTAGTGCCTAGTCAAGATGCTGTGTCAAAGGAAATTCTTTATTCATCGTTGGAAAATATATTTGAAATATTTAATTAATAATGATTATTACAACTTTGTTAGTTTTATACTGAAAAAAAAACTATTTATAATCTAAGTCTTGTTTTCCAGTAAAATGATCTTAACATCCTTAAAACAAGACACATATACATGAGAATCAAAACTGCTAAAGATATTTAATATCTTCAAACAGGTTTCCATAGAATATATCTTGAATATATGTATAGTGTATTTTGTCGTGTTCTACTGGAAGATATTTTCACTTGTTTTTAAGCATAAAATTCACTGAATCTATTATTTTATTCCCCATTTTTATTTCTGTATACAAAGGCTAAGAACATGAAAAAGGCTCTGTATTGTAACAAAAAAACAAAACAAGCCAGAAAGAGTGTATAAAAATCTTTCACAAGATCAAAGTACTGCACAAAAAGAGATAAGGAGAAGATTGATAATTTAAATGTCAAGCCTATGGAATTCCCTTTCCGTATTCTTTGTGGGACTTTGATATACAAACAACAACCTGCATATTAAGCTTAGTCAGAAGCTTATTCAAACAGATCCCAGATATGGAAGAGCAAGCTAAAATTATGACTCATAAAAGAATCAAGAGATAAACAACTTGCAGCTTATGGCATTTTCCAAACAATAGCAAAAAATGCTAGGCAATTTACTGTAATCCACTGTTAACTAAATTAGGCAAATGTCTTAACTTACCCTTTGAGTACTAAGTGTCCCACAACTTGTTTAGGGTTCCACTTGTGTGATAACTCCCTGTGAATATTCATGACAATATTAGAAAGACAATTTACTTCAAAATGGCAGGAAAACATCATGAGAACTGATCAAATAAATTCAAATCATGCAAACTGCATGCTGCCATCATTTATTAAAGATTTCTTCCTCTGTGTGTTATAAGGCATAAGGCTACAAAACAAAACCAGCGATTAATCTCTAAAGAAGGCCTTCTCAAGGACATTTATTAGCAACTGCTTACATTGTATATTTCTATACCTTGGTAAAGGTGTGCATTCGCTGATGATGCCCTCTGTTCCCAGCGTGACCCCCTGTACCACAAAAGTGCTGCCCATTCCTTTCCATAAAGCTTTTGGACCCTGTAAAATAGAGAGCGAGAGAGAGAGAGATGCTTCAATGGAAACTATACGTTTTAATCAATCAGATCACAAATGGTCAGGTGAGACACATAGCAATTTACATCTGGGTAACATGAGTCTCAATAGCATCTCCAACCACTTGTGAACAGATTTTGAGAAGAGGGTCCGCAAAAAAAATCTCTGTTTTTTTTTTTTTTTACTTAATCAAACAGGTTGGGGCACACATTTAAATAACTACACATTATTTGAATAGAATTTTGAGTATAAATGTTATATTCAAATAGTAGTGAAAATAATAAAATAATCACATATTTATTATTTTTTTAGACAAACCAAGGTAGTGCAACAATTACAAAAACTTAAAATTAAAAATTAAATTATATGTTAAGATAATTATACTCAATATAATTATACTCAAGATATGTTTAAATCAAGATATACATGTGTTTTGAAATTGGTTTGTGTACTAATATATCAATTATGCTCAAGATATGTTCAAATCAATATATACATGTGTCTTGAAATTGGTTTGTGTACTAATATATCAATTATGCTCAAGATATGTTCAAATCAATATATACATGTGTCTTGAAATTGGTTTGTGTACTAATATATCAATTATGCTCAAGATATGTTCAAATCAATATATACATGTGTCTTGAAATTGGTTTGTGTACTAATATATCAATACATATGAATTATAGGTATTATAACGATATTGGGTTTTTCGGATATGTTAAAAATGTGTTTAAAGTAAAAGAAAAGATTATTGTGCCTATACTAGTAAAAATATTTATATAAAATAATGTTAATAATTTAATGTGTTAAATTCTGTTCTTAGTCCTTCCTTCCTTCCTGTGACGGGGAGGCCCAGAGAGAAGCCATAAGAATTGTTGAATTAATTGCTAGATACAGTTTATGTAAAATGTCAACAATATCCAGATAAAAAGGTGAAATTATAAATAAAATTATCAACAAGCCCAATTTTTATTTTGAAATGTCTGTTATATTACTTCCAGCTGTTCAAAAAAAAAAAAAAAGCTAAAAGCTAAAATATGCACTCTTACAACCATCTACAACATGTTACATTATAAACACTACAAATTAAAAATAGTCATCATTTAACAACAGTAGATCAGTAGGTTTCTGATTTGAAACAGCAAGTCTGTACAATGTACAAAGGCACCACGTTTTGACTTTGAATGTGCATCAATCACATTTAACTAAATGAAATCATAACCTTTTGAAGTTTAATAATTACATCAGGCTGTATTGGGATCCATGTTTTTAACTTAACAAAATTGAATTTAGGACTTTTTAAGGATCTGTGGGAACTCTGTGCATGTTGGTAATGCACAAAAAAAAAAGTGAATACAAAAGCAGTGGGGTCCTGTGTTTAGAGAGTCGGTCTTGTAACCCAAAGGTTGCGGGTTTGAGGTTCGTACCGGCAGGGATTGTGGGTGGGGGGAGTGAATGTACAGCGCTCTCTCCCACCTTCAATACCACGACTGAGGGGCCCTTGAGCAAGGCACCGAACCCCCAACTGCTCCCCGCGCGCTGCAGCAAAAAAATCGACTGAGGGGCCCTTGAGCAAGGCACCGAACCCCCAACTGCTCCCCGGGCGCTGCAGCAAAAAAATGGCTGCCCACTGCTCCGGGTGTGTGTTCACGGTGTGTGTGTGTTCACTGCTGTGTGTGTGCACTTTGGATGGGTTAAATGCAGAGCACTAATTCCGAGTATGGGTCACCATACTTGGCCACATGTCACGTCACTTCACTTCAGTTCAAAACGCTTTGGACCCCCTGTATTAATATTGTCCACCTGTGATCGGATAGTCACCTTAAACTTAAATGGACCTAGCACCGACCCTTGTGGTACCACATGCCCTGCATTTAAATTGTTCTTTAAAAGCATCAACAAAGCAAAAATCTGTGACGTATTACCTGCGTTTTGGTGACATTGTACATCACACTGATGGCAGTCAGTGGGGACAGGTGGTAACACCTGGCATGGTAATTCACCTGAAACACACATTTCATTTTAAATGATCCATCATTTTTCAACACTATACAATGCAAAAGTACATAAGTATTTATGATATAAGCATCTACATTTTATGACAGACATGGAGCTTGTAGGATTTGTGTACTCAATGTTGTTCTGCCTGGGTTCAGCCTACCTGACACTGACGTCGAAACACAATGCAGGGATGGGCCAGGACATTTTCTGTAAAGAGGCTAATTCAAACCATACAAAAATGATTATGAGTTTACTAACATTATTTCGCACATCTTAATATAATTGTACTTTCAACAAAACTTTAAGCCATAATTACTGGGGGTTTGTTACCTTGCAAGACCTATCCCAAACCCAGCAAATCTGTTCAGTTGTTCTGAAAGAAAGAATCAAGCAGAGATGGGCAGTATTTTAATTGTGTAAAATGTACTTAAAATATGTACTTAATTACTTTTGAGTATTTTACTGGACAAAAAAATTAAATAAAATGTCATTTGTAATTAAATACTTTGAGAGACAGTATTTTGTATTTGAAATACTTAAAATACTTAATCAAGTAGGTAATTTTATTCTCAGATAATACAATCTTTCTTCACCTGTGATAATAGTACCAACTATAGCTTATCACAGTTTTTGGCTAGATGCAAGTGAATCATGACATCCTGTTGGATCCATAGGCGAAGTCTTAAAGGGTTAGTTCACACAAAAATGACAATTCTGTTGTTAATTACTCACCCACCCTTGTGTTGTTCCTAGGGCTGGGTTTTGACACAAATTTCACGATTCGATTCGATTCTCATTCACAAGCTTGCGATTCGATTCGATTACCGATTCGATTCCATATAGATTATTTTGGATAAATATCAGGTACAGTACATGCCAAATTTTCTCAAGGAAAAAAAAATCTCTCAACTAAAGCTGTAAAATATACATGAGAGTCAGCTGGTACTACATTAAAATTTATAATGAATATGTTATATGGTGCATATATTTAGCAAAATGCCCCTTTTCTACAGTTTTTTTTCTAGCTTACTATAATGAATTTATGGTCACCGAATATTTTTTTTTCTGAAGTAAATGTGACATTACGTGACACATTGTTTACAAGCCGTTATATTGACGTCTTTGTGAGGCCGAAACACAAATTGAGAGATTACACGAGACAGGATACGGATTGTAAAGTTGTACTCTTTCTTTCAATAGTAAAAGACTGTAAAAATGCTATAGTGAAAACCTGTTAACTGGTTAACAGTAAGTTTCCATACTATATTCGGTGAATAAATGTAATTACATTTAATGTGATTTTACAGTAAAATGCTGTTAACAATACGGTTTTTGGAAGTGAAAAAGTCATTGTATAATTTACAGTGAAAAACTGTAAATTGACACTCCCAGAATTCCCTGCATGACACTTCATATTTGATGTTTTTTTTGTTGAAATAACATGTTTCTTCTTCGTTTTTCTCAGCAACTCGTCTTCAACTTCTATGCCTTCAAAGAGAACCGACTTCCATTCAATGTCAAGGTTTGAGAGACTAATTGTTTGAGAGACTAATTGGCCTAATTCTTACATTTATACATTCCATTTACATTTAGTCATTTAGCAGACGCTTTTATCCAAAGCGACTTACAAATGAGGACAATAAAAGCAGTCAAAATCAACAAAAGAGCAATGATATACAAGTGCTATGACAAGTCTCAGTTAGCTTGACGCAGTAACACAAAGGATTTTTTAATAAAATAATAAAATAAATAAAAAGAAAACAGAATAGAAAAAGAATAGAGCAAGCTAGTGTTAGAGGTCTTTTTTGCTCTTGTTAATTGTATAATAAATGAAAAGAAAACGGATAGAATACAAAAAGATTGGAAAGCAAGTGTTATTTTTTTTTTTTTTAAGAAAACAAGCAGCAAATTAATAGAGTGCAACGCGAGCAGCTATTGGTAGCCAGTGAAAATTGATAAACAGAGGTGTGGCGTGCATTCTTTTTGGCTTATTAAAAATTAATCTTGCTGCAGCGTTCTGGATTAATTGTAAAGGTTTGATAGAACTGGCTGGAAAAGCAGTGGACAGATCCAGCAAGATAAGTATCGAAGATTTGGAATCCGCTCTTGCCAGTCTTTGGGCTTCACAACTGAGAGTATTATAAAATAAAATGAGAGTATTCAACAATTTTCAAGTATTAATCACTTTTTATTGCCAATGATTTGCTGGCTACAGCTCACTTAATGGCCACCAGTGTCGAGTATAATTACAAGGGTTTCTGAATCCTACATAGAGTCCTTTAACAACTAAATCTCAGCATTTTTAGGAGTCAATCTTTACTGTTGACAGTGAAATAGCTTGAGGCATCCTCTTGAGTAGGACTAGGCGGTATGACAATACAGTTTTGCAGTACTGCTTAATTTTTGACACGCTGATAAAGAAACGATAAAAGAGCGATGAAGAAACATGAAAAAATAAAGCGTGGTATTCAAGTAAACACAGTCGGTTGTGTCTTAAGTGAAGTTAGTGAACATAAGAAATTAGAAGAAATATGGATCAGTATATTGGATATATTGTCTAGTGTTAGGGTTAAAGAATATGTTGTTTACAAGTTGTTCAAGGAGGGGAAAGCACTTTTCTTCTCTTATGTGTGTATCTAACTCTAGTATTACTAAATGAAATAGCACTGTCCCTTGCACTTCAATTGATTGCTTGTAAATATTGTTTGTATTTTTGTATTTTCAAATTACAAATTACTTGTATTTTAATTAAATTCATTTCTCACACCAGTATTTTGTATTTTAATTAAATACATTTGATGAGCAAGTATTTGTAATTTGTAACAAAACACTATTTGATGCATTTGTGCCCATATCTGGAATCAAGGAAAGGTGTTTTGGGAAGAAAAAAAATAGACCTGTGTGCCTTTCTACATTTTATTTTAAAGGTCACTGGATGAGACATTTGTTTGCTTTCACCCAGTTCAAGTAAATAATGTGTGATTTGTGTGATACATTTTTATAAGTGCCAGCTGCATCTTTAGAGTTCATGACCACTTTATTAACACTGCCTAGAGCCCTATGATTTAATACTGTCTAGGGCCCTATGAAAACGCGGAATCCAGTCATAAAAATGGAATTTACTGTTTAACGCGGAACGTCACGGAATTTTTCAAAGTTTAGGTGAATTAATCAAAAGTAGGTCATTACACTTAAATCAAATCATGATATGGACTAGTATCTGAAAATTAAGCAACAAAAATACTATTTAAATATAAATCCTGCATGTTCTGCGTGTCTCCGTGTGAATGAAAGGCGCAGGCGCGCGGTTTCGTTTACTACACACTGAAGCGCGCGTGACGCTCGCTGTGATTTCAGCGTCTGCCGCCTCAATAAATGAGTACACGAACATAAAAACAATCTCTAGAACTGCTCTGGGTCACTTCATGAGCATTTGACCGTTTCATTTGAGAGAAACTTTCGTCATATCATATGCACACAGAAATTTAAAGGTATTCACGGCAACCCATCAAAATAAAAGTTTAGTTTAACTTGAAGACATTATTGTGCCTGAAATATATTACTGTTGTTCAGTAGAATGTACGTAATACTACAACTACTACTACTACTTAGGGGTGGACGATATGACCAAAATCTTATATCACGATTTGACTAATTTTATATCACGATAACGATATATATCACGATATAGTTATTGTTTCTTTTAAAAAGGTTTTTATGATATTAAAATCTTTGATACCATATAATTTTCATAATCCTTACCACCAATGTCAATATCAAACTAATACAAGCCTAAAAAGAGACAAAAAAAAACAACTCAAGCTCACTGAAGATAAATAAACAGTCAGTGATTAAATAAGGATAAGAAACTAATTGCAAGCAATAGGACAAAAAACTACAATAAATAAGAAATGCTACATACATTATAAATTAATTAGTCTTCACTGTGTTAATTCTATCTATCTATCTATCTATCTATCGATAGCTAGATAGATAGAAAGAGAGATAGATAGAGAGATAGAGAGATAGATAGATGATAAATAGAGATAGATAGATAGATAGATAGATATAATTGACATATGTATTATGTATAGATTCTATACATATATATCAATATATCAATATTATTATTTTTTAATTTCTTCTTATTAAAGTTACAAAAGTGATTTAGTCGAGAGCAGTGAGAGATTTTACTGTTGTTTGATTAATATAAAGACGGGGATTTTGACGCATATAAGTGTGTTCATGTAATCGTTCAAAGCCAATAAAGCGGCAAAAAATGCGCGCTCCTCTCACACAGAAACAGACACGGCGCACGCATATAAGTTAGCTCTGTTGTTTGTGATTCAACGTCTTAAAATCGGTTGTTTTAAAACTGCAGTGCTTAAAATCGCGTGTCCATGCTACAGATGTAGTCCCTTGTTTAGGAACGAGCTCCTCGTTTTGTCCTGGCTGGTCGTTCTCCACCTAGTTCTGTCTCCCCTTCACGCCCCGTGGTGGCGTGTAAAGATCGCAGTCATCCAAATGATGAAAAAGTATTACCGTAAACAATGTATTTTGCGACACCACGAAATAAACGATAGAGCATAATATGAAATTATAGACTTTATATTTCGTCCATCCGATATATATCGTCATATCGCACAGCCCTACTACTACTATTATTAAAATTATTAAAACTTTATTTTTTAAGGAATAATTACACAATATTTTTTTCATGTTTTAAAGTTAATAGTAAATCCCCTTTGTTTGCCAAAAATAAAGTTTGTTTAATTTTTATTTGGTTAAAAGATTAATTGAATTAATGTTTTATGCCTTCATTTGATAACCAGAAAAAAATTAAATACAAAACACAGAATTTCTGAGGGGGAAAAAACAATATTTCATAGGCTATTGCAAAAATAAATTTTAATAAATTAAATTGTTTTTATGCATTCAAATAATTAGACATGAATAAACAGAATTTGGTAACAAAACAGAAGGTGAGAAAATATAAAACATTTCATAGGGCCCTAAACATGTAATTTTTGTTAAACTTTTAATAAATTGATGTTAAAATTGTATAAGTTTCATGATTTTAATTAATTAGACATTAGACACATTTTTGATTGATAAAATATAATTTAACCATTAAAAAAGTCCAGAAAAACTGAAAAAAAAATGTAATCCAGTAAAAATAAAACGGAAAAAACTGAATTTGGAAAAAAATAAAACAGATTTCATAGGGCCCTAAAACTGTCGTATATACTATAATGTTGACTCAGTATTAGTCACATGAAAAATGATATTTGCATATTAATGTTGAACAACTATAAATCATTTGTCTTATAACCTAATAACTGCGAATTTAGGCTACTGTTTATTTTGTACAAT